TTGGTAGCCCAGGCTGACCTCGAACTCACAGAGATCCGCCTGGCTCTGCCTCCCGAGTGCTGGGATTAAAGGCGTGCGCCACCAACGCCCGGCCCCTTTTTGTTTTTTTTAAAAGAGTTGCCATGGTCATGGTGTCTCTTCACAGCAATAGAATATTGACTAAAAAATATAGTAAAGGAGACAGTTTAATAAAGGAATGTTTCTCAGTTTCTGACTGTTTTAATGGATAATTTTGAGTCAGAAAGGCAGACAAGTCCTACAGAATCAAAATACGTTTTCTTTTGGCTTTAACACCATTATTCCTGGTTGATGAGAGGGGACATGTTTACCATTTGCCTGAGACAAATTAAGTATCATTGTTATTACAGCTGATGAGACCAGAAATGCATGAACAGTGAGGTGTAGCCATGGGACTCATGCTCTAAGGCCCTCCACTGCAACAAATAATGAGGAGTTCCCCAGCATCTCTCTCACAGATATGTTACAGGTTTGGCAGCTGGGCCACCCCAAGCAAAAATGTTTTTGTTAGGGTCTGAATCACTGTGAGAGGAGCATGTGAACTTGGAAACAGTAATAAACTCCCAAATCCTCAGGCTCTACTCTGCTGATCTTGAGTGTGAAATCTGTGCCTGACCCACTGCCACTGAACCTGTCTGGGACTCCAGAGTATCTATTGGAAACCTTGTATATCAGGAGCTGTGGGGACTGGCCTGGCTTCTGTAGGTACCAGTGCAAATAGGTGTTTCCATTACTATGTACAACACTCTGACTAGACCTGCAAGAGATGGAGGCTTCATCCCCAAGGCTGACAGGCAGGGAGAGTAGAGTTTGGGTCATCACAACATCACCTCTGGAAGCTGAAATAAAGGCAGAGAAATACAAAGTCATGGGCAAATTTAGTTGATTTACTTTTTTATTTTATTTCAACTTAAATATTTATATTATATAAAATTCTTTATTACACTAAATTTTGCTTTTTAAGAAAGCAAGTGAACTAACAGCCCTAAGGGGCTTCTAGCTGTTATTTAGACCATCTCAGTCCATCTGTGTCACAATCTTCATTGAAATAAAGGTTCCTTCCCATATGGGTCTTTTCCTCTCACAGATGTAAATCTCACAGGCCCCATCCTGGAGCATAAGATCCATTTTCCTTACATGGACAGAACCCATGTGATCAGCAGTGAGATTCAGGACTCATCCTCACTACCCATCCTCCTTTCTCACTGTTCTTACCAGGAATCCTGAACACCAGCAGCACCAACAGCACAACAGGAAACTTCATTTTGAGCAGGCAGTCTGAGGAGACAGATCAGTCACTGCAAGAGGACTGCTTTTATCTCAGACTAAGAAGGGTGGGTCCTCCCTAGGGATCAATATGCAAAGGCCTGGGTTAGTGCTGCAGTATAAGCAGAGGAAAGAGCTATGAGGATTTTCATGATGGCTCCTCCTTCTTTACCAGTGTCAGAACAAAAGAATAAAAAGAAGCAAAGCTGTTTCCATGCCCAAGAGGGGCCTCCTGGTGCGTTTCTGATGAAGGAGGTTGAAGATGATACACTGGTCTCCACAGTCCAGCATAAAGACCCAGAGGCATGAATAACAGAAATTCATGTTGTTAGTGTGTAGAGTCAGAACAAAAGGATAAAAAGGGCAAAGCTGTTTCTGTGTCCAAGAGGGGCCTCCTGGTGCTTATTTGATGAAGCAGGGTACAGATGGTACACTGATATCCATGGTTCATCACAAGGACGTCATGCCCCATGTATAAACATCTCTTGGAATAAGTTAAGCCATCAAATGTAAGCACTACAGTTTTCACTAGTGTGGCTAGTCATTTTTGCATGTTTTCCCATCATGATCTCAAAGTCCCCTGACCACAGAATCCCTCCTCCCTTTCATCAGTTGGATTCCCGGAGCCTCTCTCTGTCTCTCTCCTCTCTCTCTGTCTCTGTCTCTCTCATATATATATATATATATATATATATATATATATGAATATACATATATATGAATATACACATATATGAATATACATATATGTGACAACAATAAATAAATAAGAGGGGCTATGATTTTTTTCAATTATTATCAGAAAAGTATGAACTCTCTTGGTAGCCATGTTTGTAGTGATACAAGTACATTCCTGGTTCCTTTGGTCCCTTATATCTTCCTGCACTCTCTCTCCTCCTAACATATACTATTGTCTTTAGGAGTGGAGGTCCTTCCTCTAACAAGTGCACATTCAGCCCTGAATGCTCCATTTTCACCAGAATATTCTACCATAGCCAAATATGTCCTAGTTACCAAGGGCGTATCTCTGTAGCTAGGTTTAGATATCTAGAGATCAAGTAATATGAATAGAGAAGTATATAAGAATGAGTATAGAAGCTCTGGGCATGCTTGCTGCAGTCAGAACAGAATTCATAGGTTGTCCTCACATGAATGCCATGATAGTGAATGTGTATAATGGTGGTCAGGCTATGCAGTTCGTATAGTCACAGGCCCTCTGAAATTAGCATATTAATGGCACGTTCAAAGACTGTATGCTAATAGATCCGAGTATTATGTAATTCTGGCTCATATATAGTACCCATTCCTGAAATTCAATCAGGAATACTAAGAACATGACATCTGAGCAAGGTAGTATAATAGACAGTCTGTCAAACACTTTATGAAACCTGTAGTCAAGGAGACCATATCCCTGAAACACAAAATTGCTATGTCATATTTTCCCTCTAGAATTTGTGAAAACCCAGTATTCCACTAAATACTAAATGGGAACAATACAGTGAGAACATACATATTCTCTCTCTAACATGTAACCAAAGCACTGAGTTCTGGAAAACAGAAAAGATGAGTTTCAAGGGACATCTCCTTCCTTGAAACAAATTACCACTATTAAAGTCTTAATATATATGTGAGTGTATGAAAGACTGCACAATTCATATATTTATGTTATTCTCTTGAATTTAAAATACACATCTGATGCTCCTTCTGGGCATGTAGATGATTCAAAAAACTCCAAACCAGAGCTCTGATATATTCCTTGAACAAACATTTTTTCAACAAATGACAGACATCCAGAACTCACTTTCTTCTCAGCTCTTCATCCCTAGCATTATCTCAAGACCTCTTCAATTCCTGTTGCTGACAGTGGGAAGAACACAGTTCTTTCTAAGGAAAAATGTAGGCATGGCTCAGACCCCATACTAGCTTAAGATAGTTCTTTTATTCTTAACTACCATTTCCAAATGAAGAAAAATATGTTTATAAATTTCTCCACTAATATGTGATGAACATTCACAGGCATTTTGGACAAATAAAATCCAGGCACTTATACATCAGAGTCATCTCATTTTAATCTAGCAGACATAAAATACCCAGTGTTTCTACTGTTTCCCTCCTTTTCCCATTGAACCCCTGCCTGGAGAAATGAACCATTTAGAGTCTTCTAAGTCCTCAGCATGGACAGCAGCAGTAAAGGAAGAGGAATAAGCTGGTATAATGGAATATTTTTATTTGAAAAATAAATTTCAATGTTATCTTATTTATACCTAATTCCAGTGATCTACCTTTTGATCAAGGATAGTCATCTTTGTATCTGTCATTTTTGTATAAGATGAATCCACCTAACATACATATTAGTGACAAGAATTCTGCTGTAATACCAAATGAAAAATCAAAACTCTTTTTAGTAGATCATCTTTTACTGTGTTTCTTGCATCTCTCTGTCTCTCCGTCTCTCCATCTCTCAGTCTTCTCTCCATCTCCTCTCTGTCTCTCTGTCTCCTCTCCCTCTCCTCTCTGTCTCCTCCTCTTCCTTCTCCTCCTTCTTTTTGAGACAGAGTTTCTCTGTGTACTTTTGGTGCCTGTCCTGGATCTCACTCTGTAGACCAGGTTGACCTGGCCTGGAACTCACAGAGATCTGCCTGCCTCTGCCTCTGGAATGTGTGTGTTACCACCACCTGGCTCTTTCTTACTTATTTCTAATGACTATTGTTTTCTTTTGTTTTCTCATTTTTTTTAAAATATATTTTTGTGTTCAAATGGGGATTAGTTAAATTTCACCATTTGATATAATGATACTTTTGTTTTGTGGTCAATTACTTTTAAGTTGATTTCTGCTCATCTGTAGGCACATGATCACTTTCCATTAAGTAATGACTTTCTCTTTCCATTATTTGTCATGCTTGATTTCCTCATCCATTATTTCCTCATGCTTGAATCCACACCCATTCCTGCTACCACACTGTGATACTCAGCATATATTTCTGAGGTCCAAGGCTGTTATTCAGAGATACATTTATGCTGTTTCCTAGGAGACAGGTGAGGAACCTTGCTAAGACAATGTCGCAACCCATTTCCTCTGCTGATTTCTGGGTCTTAGGCTCCAGGTATAAAGGACTAATATTTCTGTACACGTAAAAGAAATTATTTTAACATAAAGAATAAAAACTCACACACAAAAAACAGTGCTTTGAAAAATGAATTAGAAAATCTGTATTTAAGATTTTTAAAATATGATTAATGCATTATGGGGCTAACCCACTTCTAAAAGAAGGTCTCTGTTGCTGCCATGTTGAAGTGTCTCCAGTCTCCTGATTCAGACTTAAGGAGAGTGGGTCACTTTTACTTCAGCTAGAGTCTTTCACAGAACTTCAATCAGATTTACCACCTGGTTTGGTATCAGCTAAAGTAGGGATCATCTTCTGAAGCTGAGTATAGAGCATTCAAAGTTGTATGCCAATTTGATATGGAAGGGCTTTTGATTCTGAAGACAACACATTATATTAAGAGGTGACTGTCTTGACTCTTTTTACTGTCCTTATCTTGTGCAGGTTTTGTATATAACTTTTATGACTTCATAAGTGCAACATCCATATATTGTCTAGAAGAAATAATTTCACCCCATTCTTTGTCTCTAAACTTCTTCTAACATACCATCTGAGATATTTTCTGAGATTTTGGAAGGGTCAGATGAGGAAATACTTTCATAAGACCACACCCATACATAAGAAACTATTGGCAGTTTATAGCTATTGGGGGAGGAATAGTCATTCATCTTTGGGGACATAGCCACTGGTAGGTTTCCTACACTCCAATGGCTAACTCACTTCCGTGACAAACTAACTACACAGGGAGGGTTAAAAAACAAAATAGAAAAAGGTCTTGATGGAGTTCTAGAAAGAAAATGAGGAGTTAAGCTCACACACTACTTTTGTAGAAGACCCCAAATCTGGTTCTAAATACCCACACTAAGGATGGCACAAATGCCTGAAACTTTAACTCCAGGGGTATCTGACTCCTCTGGATCTTATAGATACCTGCACTTACACCCACATACACACACAGTGATACTCACACACATACATGTTATAAAAATAAAAGTAAAGAAACAAAACAAAAGGATATGAAGTTGTGAAGGTGGATATATTTGATGGTATTCAGAATGGGGGATTAGAATTGAATTGGAGTTGATAGGATCATAATACTCTGTATACATGTGAGAAATTCCCAAAGAATACATATAATTATTTTTTAAACAGGGACAGAGATCATTAGCACTAATTGGAGGCACATAAGGAACACCCAGAATAGGTACATAATATCACAAAAAGCCCATAGTATAAGGGTGCTCATACTATTCTGATGATAGCAAGAAACTTTTATTTTTTAAATAATAATTAAGCAAAGCATTGATGAATTTAGAAATAAAGATGGTGTTTTAGTTACTGTTTCTGTAGCTGTGAAGAGATGCTATGAGCATGGTAACTCTTACAAAGGAAAACTAAGTTGAAGGCTGGCTTACAGTTCAAAGGCTTAGTCCATTGTCATCACAGTGGGAAGTAGGACAGCATTGCCCTGGAGAAGTAGCTAAGAATTCTATATCAGGATTCAAAGGTAGCAGAAAGAGAGTGGCACACTGGGCCTGGCTTAAACATCTGAGCCTTCAAAGTCCACTCCCTTTGACATACTTATTCAAACAAGGCCGCACCTACTTCAACAAGGACAAACTGCCTAATAAAGCCATTCCCAATGGGCCTATGAAGGCCATTTTTATTCAAACCACCACAAATGGCTTAACTAGAGGTGACATACCTTCTCCTTCAATATAAGTATATACTAAGCCTTGTTTTACTTCGTCAATTCACTCCAGCAGTACCTGGAAAAACAAACAGCAACTATTTCTGTGTTCAACAATAACTATGGGCAGCAACGACAGGAAGAATAAGTGTCCTTTACGAGCCTGTGATTGTTTCACAAGCACAGGTACTTAACTTAATGGAAATGTAGCACACACACACA